AGGAGGAGGCGGAGGAGGATGCCAGTGCAGCCCACGCAACGTCACGCCTCAGAACGGGCCCGGGGGGCCACCCGCGACGCCGCGCTCCAGAGGCGGCCGGTGGCGCAGGCCGCCCCTCCGACGGCACGGGGCAGCACGCCCAGCCAGCTGTGCCGACCTCGGCCACGCTGGTATTCAGGAGGGACAGAAACACACAGACACAAGGAATCGTCGACTCTCCAGAAGATATTGGGAACTATGGGAGGTGGGGGGAAGACAAAAAAAAACCAGAAAATATGGGAGAATAGGGGGGATCCTTTGATTCGTGTGTATTTATTTGTGTGTGTCCCTTGGCCCCTTCAGGTATACCGTTAAGTCAGGCGTGTCCCCCTACGGGAGGAATACTAAACAATAGTCAGCAACCAACATAGTCAGAAACTAGTCTGGGGACGGTTTTCCGTTTTTTTGCTGTTGTTCTTGTTTTGTGTGCATATATATATACATAAATGTATGTATGTATGTACGTATGTATGTATGTATGTATGTATGTATGCATGTGTGCATGTATGTATGTACGTATGCATGTATGCATGTATGCATGTATGCATGTATGCATGTATGCATGTATGCATGTATGCATGTATGCATGTATGCATGTATGCATGTATGCATGGTATAGCATGTATGCAGTATGCATGGATGCATGTAGTGCATGTATGCATGGATGCATGTATGCATGTCATGCATGTACGCATGTATGCATTATATAATGTATGCGATGTATGCATGTATGCATGTATTGCATGTATGCATGTATGCATGAATGCATGAATGCATGAATGTCTGTCTGTCTGTCTGTCTGTCTGTCTGTCTGTCTGTCTGTCTGTCTGTCTGTCTGTCTGTCTGTCTGTCTGTCTGTCTGTCTGTCTGTCTGTCTGTCTGTCTGTCTGTCTGTTCGTCTGTCTGTCTGTCTGTCTGTCTGTATGTATACATATAACGGCGCACCGGGTCTGGGGGCCCGGGGCCGGGACCTCGACCACAAATGTGGGCTCCGGGGGGCCCGGAGGCTCGTCGGGGCTTGCCGGAGGCCTCCCCGGTCAGACAAGACGGCCCCAGGAGCGCCCAAGACGGCCCAAGAAACTTCCAAGAGGCCTCCAAGAGGGCTCCGAGATGTTGAAGATGGCCTCCAGACGTCCAAGGACGCCCCCAAGAGGCCCCAAGAAGCCTCCAACATGCGTCCCAAGAGGGCCCC